CGACCCCGAAAAAATTTTGCTAAGGAATTTAAGGTTTGGTGGTGCCGAGGTAGATCAATTAGTACAAAGAAGCTCGTCACGGCTCGGACTTTTTGGGTTGAACAATGCACCGATGTGTAAAGAAAAATTTTGTCGGAAAAGGGTCATTTCTGCGACTACTATGCGGTCGCAGAATCACTCTGCAGATCGCATAATGGTCGCAAAGTGGATCAGGAGAGGGGCAAGATTTGAGAAAAATCTGCAGTGCACTATGCGACCGCAGACCTGTTTTGCGGTGCATTATGCGACCGCGGAACAAGTATGCGGACCGCATAATGACCACAGACCGGGTCATTAACGCCCAACTTTGGAGGCCAAATTATGCGGCCAGTATGCAAACCGCATACCTGTTATGCGATCGCATATGCGACCGCATAACTGCATTGGAGCTTCCATTCTTTCTAATTTTTGACCCGACCCATCTTCGATTTATAGCCCTTGAAGCTCATTTATGAGCCAAAATCTGATATTTTAGAGAGAGGTGAGAGCATTTTAGAGAGAGAAAGTGAAGACTTGGTCATTTATCCATCAATTCTTGTTCAAGGTTTGAAGATTTCACAAGGATCTTGCTAGGGCTTCAAAGAGGTAAGAATTTCTTTCCTCAATTCTTCAATTTCGGGTTTGGAGTAAAGATGGGTGATTAATAGTATGATTCTTGGGTGTAAGAGTATTATGTATACATACCAATAAGGTTGTGGAAGGATTGTTAAGTTCAAATGGGTAAGGATTGGGTTGAAAATGGCAGAAATCTTCATAAATTTTAATTGAAGATTTGAGGGTCGAGTTGATGTCGGATTTCAGTGAAATTTATATGGTTGGACTCGTGGTTGGATGGGCGTTCATATTCTGTAACTTTTATCGGGTTCTGAGACATGGACCCCACGGTCAATTTTTGAGTTAATTTCGGATTTTATTGAAAAAATTAGTATTTCCTTATGGAATTAATTACAATAATTTGTATTGACTGAATCGAATTAATTGTGGCTAGATACGAGGCTTTCGGAGACCAATTCTCATGGCAAGGGCATAGCGGAATAAATAATTATACGGGTTGAGGTAAGTAACAATTATAAATCTGGTCCTGAGGGTATGAAACCCCGAATTTTGGTATCATGTGATTATTTTGGAGGTGGCGCACATGCTAGGTGACGGGCGTGTAGGCGTGCACCGAGGGGATTGTGAGTTGGTCCGTTCCGAAAAACTGTAAAGTTGAATAATTTATTGTTAGCTATATGATCTCTATGTGTTGAAGAAATTTGACTATAAATCATGTTAGAAATCATGCTTAGGCTATGTTATAGTACTGTTGAGACCCGTAGAGGTCACATACTTGTTGAATTAATTGCTAATTGATGTCTTGTACTCAGTCATGATTTTTCTTGCGTATTATACCTCAGTCTTTCTGGATATTTGTTAATATACTATGTTATCTTTGTTTGGGCTGATCTTTGTGATTTCTGAGAGCCCGAGAGACTTGAGAAGTTGAGGACTGAGTAAGGCCGAGGGCCTGTCGGTGAGGTAAGGATATTATGGCACGTGAGTTGTCCGTGCAGGATATTATAGCACGTGAGTTGTCCGTGCAGATTATGGCGTTTGGGCTGTAGGAGCCCCTCCGGAGTCTGTGCACACCCCCAGTGAGCGCGGATACCCATTGAGTGTGAGTGCTGAGGGCTGAGAGCCGAGTGATTGTGCTGTTGTGATGAGCTGAGTGACTGTTGCCTGAGAGGCTGTACTTGCTTTGAATATGTTGTTGCACTTGGTTGCTACTTGTCATTGTTGTGAAATCTCTAAAAGAATTTATATCCGGATTACTTAAAATTGAACTGTATAAAATTGATTTGACTTAAACTGCCGGATTTGAAAGCATGTCTATTCTTTGCTGGAACTATTGAAAGTGAACTATGACTGTGTAGCTCGTCATTATCTTCAGTTCCTTAGTTATTATTGTTACTTGCTGAGCTGGTTGTACTCATACTACACCCTGCACTTCGTGTGCAGATCCAGGTGTTCCTGAATATAGCGGGTGTTGATCATTTCGCGCAGTTTATTTTTAGGAGATTTTGAGGTAGCTGACGTGTTCCGTAGACCTTGTCTCTCCTTGTCTATCTCCTTGTTTACTGTATTTGGTCTCAGACTATTGTAGACCATATTTTCCAGACTTGTACTCATATTAGATGCTCATGTACTCAATGACACCAGGTTTTGAGAGTGTTGTATCGGAAATTGCTAGATTTTTGGTATTGTGTTAAACGTTACGTTTTAAATTTAAAGGAAATCATGGATTATTGATGTTGTCGGCTTGCCTAGGACTGAGATAGGTGCCATCACGACAGGTTAGAATTTTGGGTCGTGACACTAAGCAAGTCTGACCATTGTGGTCAAATGTTTGACCAATATACCGACCAATTTCGATCGGTATGTAATTTAAAAAAATATAAAATATTTTTTGGTAGTTTCAGTCCATTGTGGACTGTTTTTTGATCGCTTTTGTGGACCGACCAACGTTGGTCGGTATCGCTTGGTTGGTTTTTTCTGGATTTCTAGTAGTGTTTGCCATATCAGCGTTTAGGTGGGTCGAAACTATCAAATTTTTAAGTTTAGGGGGGTGGGGAGGGGAGGGAGTATTAGAGACCATGTAAAGTTTAAGGAGGAACCAAACAAAAGTTTTCAAGTTTGGGGGAGTCCGGAATATTTTTGCCTTTAAGGGACGGATTGGGCATAAATAGTTATTTTTTCGTTCAACTTCAAATACTCTTTTTGTTTTTCAATTTCAACTATTTACATATTTTCCACACGTATACTTGGTGCCTGTCACCTTCTTCTCTATTTTACATTTCTATATTCCCATAATAAATAGAGAAGTCTGAGGATAATAGTGCGATTATAGAAATTTCATCATGTCTTTCTTTACTAATCACAATTACGATCACTTTCAAACCAAATTTGTCTGGATCCTATATATATGTGACTGTCTTGACTATAAGGTATGGAAGAGAAATTTAGCTACCAAAATCGAAGTTTCCTACTAATTTCTGTATGACCAAGTCAATTATAAGAAATATAATATTTAATATTCTTAGCTACATGTAAACCACAATACTCAGTATTGCATTTCATCAAACATCATGTGTCCAAGTCAATTATTCTCCTTCTTCTTCGTCTCTCTCCTTCTTTTCTTCATCAACTCCAGTGGAGCTAATACTAATACTATTACGTCCTTTGCATATTGCCCTTCATCTATTTGCCATGGACGTAATATTTCGTATCCTTTTTGGAGCCATGACAGTTTCAACTCATCATCTCCGCAGTACTGTGGTTATCCAGGATTTGGGATCCACTGCTCTCAAACCGATCCAATTCTTAACATTTCAAATGTTTCTTTCGCCGTTAAACACATAAATTACACCACGTACTCCTTTACCCTGGAAGATATTGATGCTTTTGATAGCAGAGATTGCCCCAGGGCACATCATAACCTCACTCTGGGAGATTTGCCATTGAAATATTCAGAGCTTGATCTAAACCTTACTTTCTATTTTAACTGTATCAATTCGCTTTCATCTGGTCTTTCGTTAGATTGCTTAAATTCAGGTGGAAACAAGTCATATTTATATATTGAGGATAATGAGCCGGATCATTTGAATTGGTACGGAATTTGTGAGAAGAAAGTGGTGGCGACGGTGATGGACAGTGGGTGGATTCGAGAACTCGGTGCGGTCATAGGTGAGGAGTTGACTGGAGGACTTAGCGCGGCTATGAAGGAGGGGTTCGTGCTGGACTGGGGGGTCGCAACGGAGTGCGGCAAGTGTGAGGCATTAGAGGGGCGTTGTGGTTACGACAATTCAACCAACGAGTCCTTGTGCTATTGCAAAGATGGCACCCTAAAGTTTGATCACTGCAACGGTACGTTTTCTTTCCGATGGATTTTACACAAATCACCTGTCATATTTATTATTTACTTTTTTTTAGCCATATACATTAATTATACATAATTATATATATAAATTATATGTCTAACCTACTATTTTTAGTTTAAGTGGTTGGGTGAGCGGTTATTTGGTTTAATCCTTACTGATTAGTTTAAGAGCCCGTTTGGACATAAAATATTTTTTTACTTTTTTTCGAAATCAGTGTTTGGCCATAAAATTTTTAATTTTCATGCAGCAAATTGTGTGTCTTATGTTTCAGATAACTATATTTTTTTTATGAGTAATTAATTACCTGTTAAATGATCCGTAAAAACTCTTTACATTGTTTGTGTCTATGTGTTAAATCCTTGTTCTATTATGAATTTGAGTACTTAGGTATTTATCTTTCATTCCTAATAATATTGTGATCAAAATTGTCCTATTTTGCTGCTTTGTGTAGCTGTTGTTCTTTCTATGTCAAAGTTAAACTTTTGGTGGGTGTATGATTGAATGGTAGAGGTAACGCGAAGACTTTTTCCTCTCATTTCCATGTCTGGCTTAGGTGTTTCGTAGGACAGTCATTAACGGGTATTTGGTTCATTGACTAGTTGACTTTATAATTTTGACTTTGTCACAAAATATCATAGCCCGATCACTATAAGTCTCAACATTAGTGCCTTGTTTGATGTCATAACTCAGCAATAGGCGGATTCTTTACGGTTCAACTTTACAAAAAAATTAAGTAAACGAGTAAAGGCAAGAATATTGATGAATCCAATAATGTGGCTGAACAACTTATTAACAAACTAGTACTACATGACTGCTAAAATGCTCTTTAATGCTTTGAGTTGCCGTTTGGTCATAAATTTTGGCTGCTTTTTTTTTAAAAATAAATTGAAAAAATTGAAAAAATTGTTTGTTCTTGAAATATGATTAATTTTTGAAAAAAACATTAAAACAATTTTCAAGTTCCCAAAAACTGGTTTAGGACAGCTTTTGGGTGAAATTTTTTGTTCCACTCACAAAACTTCAACTTTTTTTTCAAATAAAATGCATGTCCAAACACAACTTAAACTTTCAAAAATTATTTTTCAACACAACTTCAAAAACTCTTTTTTTAAATTTTAACCAAATTTATATTCAAACGCTAGCTAAGTTCCAAACCTAGAACCTTAATTTGGAAACTGCAAGTTCTACTCCTTTCTTCCTAATTTATTTGACACTTTTAGCTTATCAAAAGCTGTCAAATCTAAATCACCCTAAAATAATTAATTATATTTAAAAATATAATATTTAAAAATACACAAAAGTACTGCTATATATTGCAATTCTCCTAATATCAAAATGGTGGTAAATACGTTGTAAAATGTGGGCAACGCTCAGGCTGTTTGAATCTTGTGAAACTACAAACAGATAAATTCAATGAAATCTCATAAACCGAGAAAGGTAAACTTTCTCTCACAAATGCATGTCCAAAATTTCCTCTTCCTCTACGCCACCTCATTCTCACCATCATATTCTTTTTTGATTACTTCCTCATCATGCTGTGGCAAAAAATATGAATGGCACTCCATTTATAATTGCTCCTATAGTCATATGATAATTCGATGTAAATATGTTTTAGCTCTTTCGTTTGTTTCCCATTTAATTTTTGTACTTTTGCTGGACCGTTAACAAATATAATTCATTATTTGTAATGTTTTGTACTTGTTAGTCGTCTAGCTCTTCATAGGTCCACCACAAAGTGCATTTCTCTAACCCGTACCAAAAACTGTTTACATCTGGTAGCTGAAAAAGTATATAGAATATGTATATTTCGTTTGTATATAATATAAAATATATATAAGAGTGACTATACAATGTCATTTTTTCAACTAGGTAAAAAGGGACGAGGTCAATGTAGGCCTTAAATCTAATAGCCCATTAGAGACTGCCAAAAGGCTAGCCCAAATAATAAGGTAAGAGTTGGAGACCACCCAGCGTAAGCCCATTTAAGCGATGCCCGTTTCAATACCATAAACCTAGATAGCATTTCCCGGTAATAGGCAAGGGGGGAGTGCAGACATACTCATTTTTTGGGCCATTATTGAACTTATAATTGCGTTGCACAATTTTTTTTGTTTTTTTTACCCACCTTGGAACAGACTTCATATGTCGCTCCTAAGTTCCAAAAATTCGAAAAATTCGGGTAGTTTTCGCGTCTGAAGTTATACTCGTGACAGTGCAACTTCAGACGCAAAGTTATAATTTTCAATTAATGTTCGCGTTTAAAGTTCTTTCCTCAGCGGCGAAGGAGGAGGAGGAGTCGGCTTTGTCCGAAGTTATCTTACTTTGAGTGCTAATTATTTAAAAAAAAGAAGTTAAGTACAGGTTAAATAGGGGCGACTCTAGTAAAGAAAAATAGGGGTGACTAAATTAGGTGTCCCGTGGAATTTTTATTGGGAAAAAGTTCAAAAAATTTCATCGGGTGTCCTCTTATTGGTTATTACTTTTCCGGCCCGTTAAATTTTAACAAATATAAATATCGGCAAAACTTGTGCTCCTCCTCCTCTTTTTCCCCCTCCTTCTCCCTTCTTTGCCGTCTTCTTCACATATATTGTGAAAACTTGAAGACTCATTGCTTATTTGTTGTCAATTTGGTGAAGAAACTTGAACATTATTAATAGATTTTTTGAGCTTAAATGTTGAAGAAGGAAGCGTAAGTTTATTGCTATTTGAAGGTCTAGGATTAATCCAACCATTGGGAATTGTTAGGATTAGTAATAGAATATTGAACATCAAATTTGGAATCATTTAGAATTTATGGACCAGTTGGATCAATTTTGAAGCATAATATTATGACCGAAAAAATCAGGTGTCATGCGGGAGCTAGTAAAGCAAGCCTTGAACAACGATAAATTCAATAACAAAAGATAAATATATCAAAAGAGACAAACATTTAGCGTGGTTCAGTCAATTGACCTACGTCAACGGGCGGAGATGAGCAATTCACTGTAATAAAAGAGAATACAAAATATTGAGAAAATAATCTCACGAATAGGCAAATATAAGTGACACACTAACACTTGTCCCCTAAAGTTCTCCCCCTAAACACGACTCTCAAACCTCATATGGCTACACTGTAGATGCTACTGAATGAGAAGGAAAGATCCTCAATTTATAGAAGTCCAAACATTTTCCTACAAGAAAAGGGACTCGCCAAATGGGAGATTTATGTTTTCTTCTAAGAATAAGAAAACCCAATTAAGGTAAACATGTTTCTCTTTCCTTCAAGAGGTAGGAAACCCAAAATATGATAAGAAAATTAGGATAACTCCTAACGTGAAATTTCTTAGAAACTTCTTGTGATTCGTTAGCAATTGTGAGTAATTTGTCCCAAATTTACGATACAATTTCGACTAAAGTCCTGCCAATCTGCCAAGACTTATAGCAAGCCTATCAATCATAAACTCTGGGTGTTCCATCAGATTCTGTGAATAATTTATTTTAAAGTTACGATACAATTTATACCAAACTTTTGATGAATTGTCAGGCCTTTTGGCAAGTCCATCTATTAGAAAATCCTGCTGATTCACTAGGACATTTTGTACAAAAGTTTCACTACGGTCAAAACCTATCGCTGTCAACCGACTTCGATCGGTTAAAAAATCAGCCGTCGATTTTTTAAAATATTTTATTTTTTAAATTCTTTTACGATGCCTTATTTTTGGCACAAAATGCGGGAAATTATATTTTACATCCCGCGAAATTTATTTTTCAAGAAATCGATCAACTTTGATTGGTTTTTCATTTAAAATAAATTAATATTAATATTCAAAAAACCGACCGAAAACTGTCAGTTATTTCGGCCGGTCATTTTAAAATACCAACCGAATTCGATCAGTAATTTTATTTTTTTAATAGAATTTGATCGTTTGTGAAATTTAATTGACTGATCGAAATCGGCGGTCGAAAAATATCTACCGAAATAGCTCATTTAGCGTTACATGTCGCCATCGATATTTCCTTTAAGATAGTTAGTCCTTAAAAGGGAATGTGAACATGGTGACTAAACAGAAGTTAGAGTACTCTTTTTTCCTCCTCATTTCTTCACTTTCGGTTCAACCAACTCAATTTAGAAACCTAAGGTCCTACACTCAATCTAAACTCAAATCATTTTATCCCCACATTGCTCAAATCTCAATTTTTCCAATCTCCCTTTTCCTTATACTAATATTTTAACTATATCTTGACTTACTTAAAAAGTAGTAGTTGGAATTTGACGTCAGCTAATAGTAAGACTTGCATCTTTTGTTATTTGCTTCTACATAATGCAATTACTATGTTTTACTTTCACACCTGAATTTCATTTTAACCTGACTTCACGACTCAGGCTTTTCTATTGTTGGTGTTAAGTTAATACAGAAGTTTTCGTGTATCAACACAAATATTCATGGTTTGCTTGTCAACATTTAATTTAAGTTATTGATCAATGCATAGTTACTTGTAATTACCTTTTAAATAACCTGATAATTTAAATATTTCTTACACTCTCAGTCCATAAAATTTAAACTCATCTCCATGACTACACAATAACATTTTAACGCGTCCCAATTTGATGGATTACTTGGCCTTAAAGACTTAACAAAAACTGGAATGTAACAACAACCTTAAAGTGGTCAGAAATGAAATATAACAACCCAATCATTGTATTATACTGGACTGGAGTCAAGTCAATAATAACTGTGTAGCTGGGGATGGGGACCACTTTTTTTTTTTTTTATAGTTGCTTCAAGTTTTAAAACATAGGTTGTCTTCATTGGGCAACAAGGTACTAATTGTCAAACTCTCACAATTATTTAATCAAACCAAAACAAAGACAAGTTTGAAATATTTGATTTATAAAAGATAAATTACACCAATTGCTTACAACTATAATCCTAATGCTTTCCTCTATACCAAAATACTTTGTCCTGTTCCTCCTTCTCCCTTTGCTCTTTCTTCTTGTTTTAGACATAATATGAACCTTCAAAGCCTATTCATGGTCAAGAAATCTGTTTCTGTTCTTGTCATTGCTATTCTTTTCATTACCTTAGCAGATGACACTCTCTCTATATACCTCAATTCTACTGCTTGTATTACACATAGTTGTGGTAATGGAGTTAAGATATCATACCCCTTTTGGATTCCTGAGAAACAACCACCTTATTGTGGCTTACCAGCTTATAATGTCGCCTGCAATAAGGATAAGTCACTTCTTCATATTTCTGGAGATGAATTTATCATTAAAGAAGTGTTTTACACAAACAACTCAATTCTCCTAGCTAAAGCAGATGTGTTTGATGAAAACAACAAATGTCCAGTACCAACACATAATTTTAGCCTCAGGGGTACTCCGTTTCGCTCAGGGCCTAACACTGCAGATCTCTTCTTCTTCTATGAATGTACTCAACCTTATGAAAGGGAGACATATGCTGTTAATTGTGCCAGCAATGCCACTCATCATTCTTTTGCTGTTTTCCATACTGAGCTTTTGGAGCACTCTAACTATTCAGTCGAATCGTGTCAAGATCCTGTTTATGCCCTTGTTGAGACTGATTCTTTAGATAGATTGCTAAAAATGAATTACATGCAAGTTCTGCAAAAGGGATTCTTTCTACAATGGGATGGGACTAATTGTAGAGATTGCCAGCATAGTGGAGGGCACTGTGGTGTTCAAAACAATGAATTTATTTGCATTTGCAAAGACCAACCCCAACAAAGGACTTGCCTTCATGGTAAATATAGATACTATACGTTTAAATTTACTGAGTAGAAAATATCTTGTCAAATCCTAAATAAAAAAAGGCAAGCCATTCTATTATTTATTGATCATGTTAAGGGAAAAAAAGGTTTCCAATTTAAGTGATAGTAGCTGATTAGTTCTACTTAGTACTACTGAGATACATTATTATTGTTTGGTATCAGTTGATCACCTGCTATGTTTTCGTTTCAGGAAGAAACAAAATCGGATTGAAGGTTGGCATAGGTGATTGTCCATTGAAGTTGTTCACCTTGATTTATCTTATTATCCTTCTATTCTCAAGAATGCTCAAAAAAATTCCAATGTACATTTCTTCTTGCAGGAGTTGGTGCAGCTGCATTTACTGCTTTGATGGCAGGTGTAATTTTTCTTTTCTATCGTCGTAGACAGAAGAAACTTTATGCTGGTTCGTCCTTGTTCTCGACAAGCATTCTCTCCTATCCCTCCTCAACAAAAGATCCCGAAAAGGCTACTAGCTTAATCGGAGTTCACCTCTTTGATTACAACGAACTAGATGAAGCCACTAACAATTTTGATTCCAAGAAAGAGCTTGGAGATGGTGGATATGGCACAGTATACAAAGGTAAGAATGATCCTATATTGAACTTCTAGTTGCTAACGTGTGACTGAGCTAGGATATGATGATTATAGGTAAACTTCGAGATGGGCGTGTTGTTGCTGTAAAACGTTTATATGAAAACAACTGCAGGAGGGTTGAGCAATTCATGAATGAAATTGATATCTTAACACGGTTGCATCATCCAAATCTAGTCACCCTTTACGGATGCACATCTCGCCATTCCAGGGAGCTTCTACTTGTTTATGAATACATTTCCAATGGAACAGTTGCTGATCATCTACATGGTGTACATTCAAAGCCTGGATCGCTTGCTTGGAATACACGAATGAAGATTTCCTTAGAAACAGCAAGTGCATTAGCCTATCTCCATGCTTCAGATGTCATTCACAGAGATGTAAAAACTAACAATATCCTCTTAGACAGCAATTTCTGTGTTAAAGTAGCAGATTTTGGCTTGTCTCGGCTTTTTCCATCGGATGTTACACATGTCTCAACAGCTCCACAGGGTACTCCTGGATATGTTGATCCCGAGTACCACGAGTGCTATCAGCTCACTGACAAAAGTGATGTTTATAGTTTCGGAGTGGTACTAATTGAACTTATATCATCACTGCCTGCTGTTGATATCTGTAGGCACCGACATGAAATAAATTTGTCGAATATGGCCATTAACAAGATTCAAGGCAATGCATTACAGGAGTTGGTGGATTCAAATCTTGGGTTTGACACTGATGACAAAGTAAGGTCAATGGTTACTGCAGTGGCGGAGTTGGCATTTCAGTGTCTGCAGAGTGATAGGGAATTGAGACCGTCTATGCAGGAAGTCGTGGAGGCGCTGCTGAGAATTCAGAGAATTAATAACACAACAGGGAAAACAGATAAGGGATGTCCTGATGATGATACAGGGTTGTTGAATAGTATCACGTTATTAGTATCACCTGATTCAGTTACTACAAAATGGAGTAGCAGTCAAACGACACCCAATGCCAGTACCTAGTTTTTGCTCACATTGCAAGTTTTCTGCTGTTCTCTAGGGTGGTACTTGAGCACCTGCTATGTTGGTTGCCAAAACCTGAATTTCATAAACTTTGATTACCTTGGTTTTCTATGTGAAGTAGAATGTATATATTTCAGTGCAGCTCGTTTAATTTGACATTTCTTATTCGATTTCATCTTCTCAAGTCTGCTGATTAATTTTTGTAGCTTGCAATAGAAGATTAGGATAAAGCTTTAAAAGAGCGTTTAGTCAAGAATATATTATCTGCATAGACCATAGTGTAGTAGACCTACTTGACTGATTTTGAACATAAAATAAAAGTTTAGTGCTACTAAGCAAGACAAAGTGTTTTTACTTTTTACAATCCAGATTCTACAAGGAATTCACTGGGTTTGTTGTTGTTGTTGTACAATCCAGATTCTACGTGATCGCTCCTTTCTATTGATTTAGCTTTTATTTTCGTTACTCGAGTTGCTTTCAGCACAGTGCTCTTTCATCAAGACCACATCTCAGTGATATCTTCTTCTTTTTTTCGTTGTGGCGGGGGTTAATGCAGTGATCAATCTGAGACCATTCTTGATCTGATAAACTGAAGAAGCAGAACAGCTCATGTAATTATTGTACTGTCATAAAAGAGGAAATAAATGAGAGCCTGTTCTTGATATTCTAATGAAACTCTCCACATTATGTGTAATTAGAAATGTGGTTTTCTTGATAGAGAAGTGTTTCAGATACTGAAGGGGATTAGAGACTAAAAGGGCAGCCCGCGTTCACGCAGGGTCCGGGAAAGGGCTGCATCCCAAGGGTGTGTGATATAGGCAGCCTACCCAAGCATCAGTGGCCGATTCCACGGCTCGAACCCGTGACTTATAGGTCACACGGAAACAACTTGACTGTTGCTCCGAGGCTCAAGGGGATTAGAGACTAGTCTTCATAAATCATAAACATTTCCTTAGATACACCCTAGTACAATATACTGAAATACACATCTTTCGCGGTGAATTATTCAAGTCAAAAACTCACAATTACAGACACAAATTGAAGTTCATTACAACTCTTGTAGAAAGTTTCTTCTTTGGTAGCCATGAAAATATATGAAGGGCTATAAAATAGCAGATGCTTCAAGAGAACTAAGAGCTGAACTTGAAGGAGAAATCAAGGAGGCGTTGAGGGGCATTCCTCGCGCGCTCAAAGAATGTCTTCCTGAACAATAAGGAGTACATAATAAAGGTTTTGGTGGTACTTGTAAGGTCAAATTACCTTCTAACATGTCAATAACTTTGCTCATCGATGGCCTTACTGCTGGATCGGTTTGTATGCACCACAGTCCTACTAATATCATCTTCCTTGCAGTTTCTTCTTCTTCTTCTTTGTTTATAATCCCTTGTAGTTTCAGCTCATCGTCTAGCTGAACGTGCTGATACGCCCAGTAAGGAAAATATATCTCACTTGTATGGCTTACTTCTTCTTTCACATTTTTTCTTCCTCCGACCATTTCTAAAACCATCATTCCATAACTATAGACATCAGACTTGTGTGAGACTCCTCCAAAACTCCTACTGATGACTTCAGGAGCAATATAACCAATCGTCCCTCGTGCTCCTAACATAGATACAATGCTTTCTTTCCTTGTGCAGAGTTTAGCCAAACCAAAATCTGATATTTTAGGACAGAATTCCTCATCAAGGAGTATGTTATGAGGCTTTATGTCAAAATGCAAAATTCTTGTGTTGCATCCCCGGTGCAGATACTCCAATCCTTTAGCAATTCCAACTGCAATTTGATACAATCTGTGCAGTCCCAAGTGAGAGCCATTACCATAAATGTATTTCTCTAGGGATCCATTTGGCATGAAGTCATAAATAAGAGCTCTTTTGCTCCCATCAAGACAATATCCCAAAAGAGACACGACGTTGACATGGGAAGTTTGACTGATGCTCGCGACCTCATTGATAAATTCTTCTCCATCACCTTTAGTTGCTTTCAGAATCTTTACTGCAACAACTCGGCCGTTAGCAAGAATACCTTTGTAGACCCCTCCATAACCTCCTTCACCAAGCTTATCGTTGAATCCATGTGTCATTTTCTTGATTTCCTTATAGCTGTATCTCTTTGTTGCCAGTGATCCATATTGCTTAAGTAAGGCCTCTAGACTCTGATCTTCTGTTTCGCCGTTAATTAATCTTATGCACTTCTTGAATGATTTTCTATATTGTGTATACATAATTCCAAAGAAGATTAACATCCCAATTCCAGCAACCGAAATTCCTATTACCAGAGGAAGAAAAATTATTGGTAGGCTTTGAGAGGAATAATGAATCTCAAGTAGGCTGAAAATCGTTTCATTAAATATTAGCATACCTGTTGTCAACTTGAGAAAATGAATCTTTCTTGCTAAATTAGTGTTTGGTTGCATCAAAACTGACTTTACATTAACTGGACAGGTAAAAGGAAAAGTTGTATCTCCACAACGACAACGAAACTCGATATCAAATTCACATATCCCTCCTGAATCTTGACAAGCCAAACAGCCACCTGAGGCATCACTATAATCCACTTCAAACCCCTCATTCACAGCCTCCTGCAGCTTTAGAGTTGCGTCCCACAGTTGCGTATAAGCAGTAGAAACAAGAGGAACCACTATACTGAAAGAACATCCTTTATCATAATTTCCAACAATTTCATCAGCAAAGAAAACACCAGTGTTGGTTGTTCCTACCACAGAACAATTAATATTGCTTGGAAGCTGTACCTGTGACAGAACCTCAGGATTGCAGCCGTAGAATATGTTTATAAATCTAGTTCCAGGGACGTACCTGTTAGGATCGAAATAATCAGGTGTCATGCGAAAGCTAGTTAGCAAACCTTGAACGACGGTAAATCAGATAACAAAAGAGAAATATACCAAAAGAGACACAAACATAGTTCAGTCAATTTGACATAGTTTGTAGTACTAAAATATATATCTAACTTTATCCAATACTTATGAATCAAACATGCAAACCAAATAACTTGATCCGCCACTAGTACTTACCTGAGACCGTTGATTAAGGTGGTGTTATACTTGTTGAGATTGAACAAAGAAGAAGATTTTGGACAAACATTATGCCAAAGATTATCATGCACAATCCTCATTCGAGTTGAGGATTCGTTAATAGACAGTACATGAAATTTTGAAGGTCGATAACCCGAGTATTTTCTTTGTGAGAAGGAAAAAACAGGCAAAGTGGACAGATTATCTTTGCATTCAAGAAAGTAATCGTCTCGGCCACATAGTCTTGATCGCACACTACCTCCCCAGAAAGGATACTTAATACCATGTATATTTCCACAGTTGTAAGCAGCTTCGCAGTTTATACTCTCGCCTTCAAACAAAAAGCTGTAAGATGATGGAATTGTGATGACTAAAATTAGGAGGAAACAGGTTGAGAGTTGATATAAGAATAACATAACCATTGTTGGCTCTGGAACATATGAATACTATATAAATTTCAAGTTTACAGAATCAAGAACCGATCAAAACACTCTCTCAATCTGGCTAAAGAGCTGAATTCAAGTCAATTGAAACAGTTGAATCAAGTAAGAAACAGGTACTAGTTTAATGGGCTCAGAATTGTCAACACTTACGGCTTCCTCAACAAAGACTTTGACCTGCTTTAATTAAAACGGATGACCAATATACCATTCCATGAAATATTCAAGCCTCCACGGCACAAAAAATAAAAAATACTTGCAGTCGGTACACACACTAAATTATACAACAACGACAACGGCAACAAACCCGTAAAATCCCACAAGTGGGGTATGAGGAGACTAGTATATATGCAAACTTACCCTTACCTTCGGGAAGATAGAGAGGCTGTTTTGATAGACCCTCGACTCAAGTAAAAAGCAAAAAAGAAGTAGTAACATAAGCTGCAACAACTTCAAGGTAAGAAGATAATATAACAAAGGAGAGGAACCAATAAGGAATAAAAAATATGAGAATAGTCCTAATACTATTAGGGGTCGTTTGGTAGGGGTATTACTAATGTTGATATTAGTTATGCTGACATATTTCTTATCCATTGTTCGGTTTGATGTATTAAAGTATTGCACAATTTCTAAAAGACTTGTTTATTTACAAAAATACCCTCATGATAAAAAAAATTTATGTATATTTGCTGATCGATCAACGTCTGTACAAGCTACTACATAAATACACTGGAAAAGAAATCTATTCTCTAACTACCTAGCCAGCTGTACAATTCTTATTTGTTGTCTTGTAACAGACTAAAGGATAATCCAAAGAATAAATCAAATTGTATATACAAGGTGTATTTTCTGTTTCCTACCACTTCCTTCTAGTAAGCCCAAAGAATATTGATCCAATTTGGGCCCAAAACTGTTAAGACCCAACAGTTGAGAAAGAGCTGCTTGAGCCCAAATGTCTGATGACCCATTAAGTCCAAACCATTGTAGCCATTTGATTAATTGCATCTCATCCGTCCATTGGCATTAAAACCTAAAGTCTCTCTTTCAGATATAAACATATGAAGCTTATCAGAGATGAGAACTATCCAGAATCTCTGTCAATAGAATGTTGTACCTCCATCGATAAACCTTAATTTTTACAATTATCAGCTCCAAATTTTGTATCATCACCAACACCTCCCCCCCCCCCCCCCCCCCCCCCCCCCCCCCCCAAGTTGGAGGGGGAGGAGAGAACCCCCAACTTGCCCAACATATTGTGATGGATGGGTCCTGTGAGGGATTTAGTAAAGAGATCGGCGAGTTGGGAGGAAGATCGGACATAAGAGAGTGAAATGAGACCGGCAAGAAACTGTTGCCTCACGAAATGGCAGTCGAGCTCGACATGCTTCGTTCGTTCATGGAATATCGAGTTTTTGGCGATGTGTATCGCGGCCTAACTATCAGAGTGAAGCGGTACTAGAAGGGAGATAGGGACAGAAAGATCTGCGAAAAAACGAACTAACCAGGTTAGTTCAGCCACAACTCGTCTCATGGATCTATATTCCGCTTCAGCGGAGCTAAGAGAAATGAATGTTTGCTTCTTCGATTTCCAGAAAATAGGAGAAGAACCAAGTGAAATATAGAAACCACTGACAGATTTTCGTGAATCTGGGCAAGTCCCCCAATCAGAATCACAAAAGGCCATCAATTTGAAAGAGGAAGATGATGACATAAAAAGGCCCAGACCTAAATCTTTAAGCAAATAGCGAAGTACACGAAAGGCGGCTTGAAGGTGTGGTTGGCGAGGGTCCTGCATGTACTGGCTTAAATGTTGAACTGTGAAGGAGAGGTCTGGTCTGGTATGTGTTAGGTAGTTGAGTTTCCCCAGGAGATGGCGATACATAGTTGGATCAGCAATAGGATCTCCTATTTTAGCAAGAAGCTTTACCGTTGGGTCTAAAGGACAGGAAACATGAGACAAGTGCGAGGAGTCAAATTCATGCAAAAAGTCCAAGGTGAATTTCCGCTGACAAAGGATCAGACCCTGAGCTTCTCTGATGACTTCCATACCAAGGAAGAAATGTAAGGTACCTAAGTCTTTAATACTGAACTCTTGCTGAAGAAACTCTTTCAATGTAGTTAATTCAGCATCATCATTGCCTGTTAGCAAAATGTCATTAATATAGACTGCAACTATAGAAATAGAGGAGTCTGTCTTATTGAAAAATAGGGAATAATCGTTTAGAGAGTGAGTGAAGCCTTTGAAATTGAGGGAAGCTGTGAGCTTGGCATACCATTGCCTTGATGCCTGGCGAAGTTCATAAAGTGACTTCTTCAGTTTGCAAACGTGATTAGGAGTAGGAGGACTAACCCCAGCAGGAAACCTCATATAAACCTCCTCATTTAAATCGTCATGTAAAAATGCATTGTCTACATCTAATTGGTAAAGTCCCCAGCCTCTCTTCACTGCTGTAGCCAAAATACACATGATAGTGGTCATTTTAACCACTGGTGAAAGCGTTTCAGTGAAATCTATTCCATCTCGTTGTATGTCACCTTTAATGATCAATCTGGCTTTTAGCCTTTCTATGCTGCCATCTGAGTGTTGCTTGACCTTATATACCCATTTACATGGCAAGTCTTTCCTACCTTAGGGTAATTCTACCACATCCCAGGTTTTATTAAGCTCAAGAGCTTCAATTTCTTTTGCCATTGCTTCTTGCCAACCAGGGTGATGAGCAGCCTGTGCATAACTGATAGGTTCTTGGATATTAGACAAAGAGTTAAGCATATGTTAGTTAGAAGAGGTTAATCCAGTAAAGGACACAAAAGTAGGAGTGACTGGAGCTAGGAAACATGAATCAGATACATCTGTGAGGTGAATTACATTACAAACATAATCTTTTAGATAAGCAGGTGTGACATGAGGTCTGGTGGATTTCCTAATGAGGGATTCTATCATAGGTACTGAAGCAGGAGTGGAGGAAGAAGGTAGGGAAAGTGGAATGTGGATGAGAAGTGGAACCATGAGAAGAAGTGGTAGACAAGGGAGTGTGTGGAGGAGAAGCAGGAATGGGGAACTTAGGAGAATAAGCAGCAGTAGATGGTGGAGAGGAAACAACATGAGTGGAGGGAATGATAGGTGAAGAATCAGAAAAAAGAGTAGTAGTATTAACTTTAGCAAGAGGTAGAGAAGGATTAGGGGAAGAACCAGTGTTTATAGAAGCAAAAATAAAGAACTCTTCATGAAAAATGTCATCCCTAGAGACAAAGGTCTTAAGAGTCTATAGATTAAGCACCTTATATCCCTTCTTCCTATGTGGATATCCAAAGAAAATACAAGGTAGTGCCCTTGGCTCAAACTTTGGTCTGTTGTGTTATATAGTAGAGTCAAAATATAAGTAACCAAAACACTTAAGGTTTGTATAATTGGGTTTGGCTTTGAACAGAACTTCATAAGGGGTTTTGAAGTGTAATATCTTAGAAGGGAACCTGTTAATTAAGTAAGTGGCTGTTAATAAAGAGTCTCCCCAATATGTGATATGCAGATGTGATTGGTATAGTAAGGCTCTGGATGTTTCTAGTAAATGTCTATATTTTCTTTCCACAACTCCATTTTGTTGTGGTGTATAGACACATGAAGTTTGATGTATGATCCCTTGTAAGTGAAAATAATCTGACTGAAGGTGCCCACTACCCAATTCAAAAGCATTGTCTGACCTTATAACTTTGACTTTGGTGTGAAACTATCTCTCTACCCTGTTTAAGAAGGATTTCAAAACTTTGAAGGCATTAGACTTAGTACTTAATAAATAAGTCGAGGTACCTCTGCTAAAGTCATCAACAATAGTGAGGAAATACTTATAACCATCATATGTAGGACTACTATAGGGTCCCCAGGTGTCCACATGAATCAACTCAAATATTGATTTTGTTGAAATAGAACTTGAAGGAAAAGAGAGTTTAGATTGCCTTGCCATAGGACAAATAACACATAGAGTAGAAAATTTTTGAACAGGAAGATATTGAAACTGAATCAACATTTCTCATATTGCTTAAAGGCATGTGGCCTAGCCTATAATGCCACAATTTTTCCTTTACATTAGAATCAGAAAGACTAAAACAGGAATTTAAAAAAGGAACAGAACTAGATTTCAGTCTAGATACAAAAGTATTTCTAGACTTAGGTAAACTCTTAGAAACTGCAGCTGAAACTCTTGACTTGAGGATGTAGAGACCTCCCTTTTCTTTACCAATCTCCAGAGAGCTCTTCAGTGAAGGGCCCTGCAGCAGAAAACAAGAAAGAGGGGTGAAAAGAACATACTTATGAAGTTGTCTACACAACTTGTGTATAGATAACAAATTGAACCTGAAAGAGGGCACATACAAGACATTATGTAGTACCACATTAGGTAAAATTGACACTGAACCTGCGTGTGTAACTCTAACTCTATATGAATTTGGGAGTTTAACCATGAGGGGTTTAGGCATAGCCTTATATTCTGTGAAAAAAGTGTTTGTTGAAAGTCATATGCTCAGTTGCTCCACTATCTAATATCCAAGACTCATTATCAATTTGAATGAAACATGCATGTGAATTAAAAAAATTGGCTATACCAGCACAACTAAGGTTTGCAAAAGCATCAGAAGTGGAAGTTGTCTGTTGTCCCATGTTTGCCTGATGGAGAAGTTGCAGAAGTTGTGTTACATTCTCCTGTGTAAGTGTCTGAATCCCTGCATTGTGTGTTCCTTGATCTGCTTCTTCAGCTGAGTTGAATGCAACATTTGCTTGCACTCCTCCTTGAAATTTCCTTTGTTTTGTGAACTTAAAGTATGTGAAAAAACCATGAATCCTGTAGCATTTTTTAATATTGTGTCCTGGTTTCTTACAATAAGCACATATTAATGAGTTTATTTTTGCATCAAAAACTCCTTTGTTGCCTCTCTGTTCATTGTATTTCTTACCCTCTACTTGATTGAAAGCAATGAAGGAGGCCGAGTCTTCTAGGTAAGCAGGGCTAGCTTGAATTTCTCTTTGTTTTTCATCTTGCATTACCAATGCATATGCTTGTCCAATAGAGGGGAGTGGAGAGGACAACAGTATGTTGCTCCTAACTCCTATGAAGGTCTCATTCAATCCCATTAGAATTGCAAGAGCCTTTCATCCTGATGAGCCTTCTGGTTCTTTGTCTTTACTCCACAGTCACATTCACACACACATGCAGAGAATGTGTTGAGAGCATCTAGCTCATCCCATAAGCTCTTCATTTTGGTGAAGTAAGTAGACACACTTGAACTCCCCTGCACCACAACACTTAGTTCTTTCTGTAGTTGGAAGAGATTAGCTCCATTTATTTGACTAAATCTATCTTCCAAGTCACTCCAAAGATCTTTGGCACTCTGGGAATACAGCACACCGTCTGCTATTTCCTTTGAAAGGGAGTTAAGGAGCCATGAAAGCACCATGTCATTTGATCTGGCCCAGGCCTGTTGAAGACCTGAGTCTGCAGCTGGAACAGCTAGGGATCCATTAATGAACTCTAGCTTGTTCTTTGCTGACAAAGTTATCACCACGGCTCTTCTCCAACCACCATAGCTCCTGCCATCAAATACTGAAGAAACCAGGTTCATTCCTGGGTAATCTGAAAGGTGAAGATAGTAAGGGTGTGCTGAATCAACAACACCACTAGCCATGGAACCTACTGGAAGGGATCTAGTTCCAACAGTAGTGGAAGAAACAACTGAAGGGCTGCTCTGAGATTCAGTAGACATTTCACAGAAGAGAGGGAGAAATGAGATCTAAAAAAAAAGAAATCGGATCGCAAGCACTTCAAGCCTGCTCTGATACCATGACAAAATAGAAGAGGAACTTAGGAAAAATTTTCTGTATATTTGTTGATCGATCAACATCTGTACAAGCTACTATATAAATACACTGAAAAAGGAATCTATTCTCTAACTACCTAGCCAGCTGTACAATTCTTATTAGCTGTCTTGTAACAGACTAAAGGATAATCCAAAAAATAAATCAAATTGTATATATAAGGTGTATTTTCTGTTTCCTACTACTTCCTTCTAGTAAGCCCAAAGAATATTGATCCAATTTGGGCCCAAAACTGTTAAGATCCAACAGTTGAGAAAGAGCTGCTTGAGCCCAAATGTCTGATGACCCATTAAGTCCAAACCATTGTAGCCATTTGATTAATTGCATCTCATCCGCCCATTAGCATTAAAACCTAAAGTCTCTCTTTCAGACATAAACATACGAAGCTTATCAGAGATGAGAACTATCCAGAATCTCTGTCAATAGAATGTTGTACCTCCATCAATAAACCTTCATTTTTACAATTATCAACTCCAAATTTTGTATCATCACCAACACCTCATGACCAGTCCATCACTTTATCTTTTAAAAGAAACATATGTTGAGGAATGTTTTTATATTGAAAAAGGTTTTAGAAAAATTATTTGATTTGCCTACCTATATTGTAGTATAGAAATGAATATTTATTTATAAAAAAAAAATGCTAAGTATTTATTTATCTACGAGAGATATAATTTATTTTTCACTTTCTTAGATTATTAGGCAAAGAAAATTTGAATTAAAAAAATAAAAGGAAAATGAATTGATTACAAGTGCATTCCAGTACGTAGTAGTAGAGTACATATTTATAAATTTACAATAAAGAAATTGGCGGAGTATAGATATAAATAGCGGGAGCAATTTCAGTATCAAACTTTATATCAAACTTGCATTAATATAATAGCATATTTTAATCAATCATAAATTTTGAAGGCAATTTTGTCTTTAACTAAGTTAATGCATGCATTAAAACTCATTGCATTGTTAATAGTTAATATCATGGTTATGCATAGGATAATACCAAATAGTGTGTATAATTAATGCTTGTATAACTAATGCATAAGTTCAAAAAGTGTACCAAACAAGATATTATTTATACACAAAGCTAATACATACATTATTTTATATAATACATCATTCCAGACGAACCCTTAGTATGTACAAAAGACACGTTCGATCCTTGTACCTTAATTAACACACTAAATTATCTTGAGTCTTTTTATGTCCCCGAATATAAAAATGCATATTAGTGAACTATGAGTAAATGAATTTATAAAGCGCGCAGTAGGCTTGAATACAAACTGAAGGTTTGACATTTAGTTATATGTACAACTATATACTCTCCCTCTGTATCAATTTACGTGAACTTATTTGACTGAGCACATAGTTTAAAAAAAGAGTGAAGATTTTTAAATTTGTGGTGTAATATAAGACACATAAATATTGTATAGGTATAAATCATTACATAAAGATAAATTGTTTCCAAATAAGAAAATGAGTCATTCTTTTTGGTATGGACTAAAAAGGAAATAAATTTACATAAATTGAAACGGAGTGAGTATAACTTTTGGAAAGTGATGAACAATGAGGGGGAAGAAGCTTCATAGTATCTGCATATGGATGTTGCTTGCTCCGCGTATGAAACAAACTCTAGGAATTTTTTGCCAAGCCAATTAATATATAAACTCGTCTAGTCACTAATTTGACTCTTAATAGCATCATATACTGTATCTTTCATATTCAAACTTTATTTGCAATATATAGCCGCGTTGTATCGCTTCTCTCTACCTTTCAAGCCATGTTTTCCCCCTTCAAATAGGATCATTTGCGTTGCTATTCAACTTTTGATGATAAACATTAATCGGAAACTTAGTAAAAATGGTACTCCACTAATATGCTATAACAAATTAAATTACAATATGATAATGTAAAAGTTACTATATATTTGCTCTATATGTGTACATAACTTACAAGCGTATCTTTTTATTTATTTATTTAATGGAAATCTTTGTGGTCAACTGCTTGGATGATGTCGGAGAGGACTATGATATTTGACAGATATCCATAATAAAAGGCATGAGAAACAGTTAAAGATATTCAGTAAACAAAATAATTTGGTGGCATTTCTATACATGTCACAAACGAGATAGGTTAATAGCTCAAATTATTGACATTTGAAAATATCGTAAATAAATGTCGGTAGTTAGTTGCCGATATTAATTTAAATGTCGCAAAATTAACGATATTGAAATTTTCGATATTTAACATAAATATAAAATAAATGTCGGTAAACAAGTTTGTGGCATTTAAGTGACTTATGGAGACATTTATAAAATGGCGCAGTATCCCATATTTTGAAATTTGTGGGGGGGGGGGGGTGACGAGTGATCAAAATATTTTCTCTTTTGAAAAAAGTTTTTTGAAAAGTATTTTGAAGTAAAATGTGCTTGGGATTGTGTCACGACCCAATTTAGGATCATAACCGACACTTAGGAGCGAGTGCTTCCAAGTAAGCCTCATCGGCATTTTATAAAAAATCGGACAGAGATTCTTCTGTTTTAGGATTATCCAAAAATAAACATGTCTTAGAAATTAACAACACAACCAACCAATATCCACCAAAACAAGTTATAATCCTCATCAACGAAGTACTCCTAACAATTTAATACTAACTCCATCTCCAAAAATACAATAGGAAAGTCTAATACGAGTCACAAATCTATATCAATAAAAGAATACTCATGATACTAAAAAAAAAAGACTATGAAGCGACTCTAAGAGTTTCAAGAAAGAAGCTATAACAAATAAATAACAATCCTTGCCCACGCGAATAACTGCGGGGCTCACCAAAATCTGTCAACTCGTGTACTCTAATTAACGAAATCCTCACCTGCATCTATTGCTGCCTCCGTAAAAATAATAACGGAGAGTGAGTCGCTAGCTCAGTGAGTAATAACACTTAACCATGCTAGTATATTAAACCGAAAATATCATAAAAATGCCCTTTCTAAAACGGTCAATATAATCAGACATTTCATGTGTTTCGTGTAACAGAAAACAATTCAACAAATCGGTAATAAACTCGGTAAATACTGTCTCATAGCAAATCTTTATGTTTGAGAGGTTACCAAGAAAGGATCACGTAATCTGTATCACTGTGTGGACTCCTTCGTAAAAGTAGTCAAATATAACTATAGATTCCTACTCGAGGGAAAACTATAATTGTATGCTAGTTCTACCACTAGCGAGGGTTATAACTGTAATCGGTAATCTGTAAATACAAGGTGCACCAGGTCTAACGAACCCGACGTTAGCTACGGGATCCTTCAAAGTCTCCTCCCATTTATACTTTTCTTCGTAAGCAGTAAATATTCATAGGAATGCATTTTTAAAATAGTACATGACATTTCAATTCTTATCAAATCATGTAATCCCATTTCGGTAATAGTAATCATATCTCAAATAACAGTAAAACATGTCTAGTAACGGTGAGAACATTTTAAATAACTGTAAACATCTCAAGTAAACTGTTCAGTATCATATCAAGTAAAAGACTTGTCCCACATGCAAATTTCAAACATTCGGTAAAAATTACTATTTGCAAAATCATGTATAAACCATGCAGGTTATGAAAACACAAGTTGCGGTAAGATTACTACTCACAATACTTGTGCAGAAATATCCAACACGCCACGTCGGGCACTTTGTTCAACTTCTTCAACTACCTACTTGTAACAAAACTAATCTATGTATTAACTCCGTGAATTCCAACATAGCTGGTGCAATACTTCAAATCAGATTAATTCCCCTATTTTTATTCCTTTGGAACCGAGCAATGATTCTCTGTTTGTTCTTACATTGCGATCGATACAACTATTTGTATAAGGAAAGAAGAATTTATTTCGTCTGCACAAAAGCTGTATTCTTCCCCTCAATTAATATTTGTACTAAATATTTCTAGCCTGTACATTAGAGTGTCGGTATAACCTAAAAGAATCTTCAGTCAATTTAATAGGAATTCATTATTTTGCTATATAAGAATATTTTAATTAAGTTGTTAGTCTTGTTTCTACTCTTAATTAGTGAAATAATAACTAATAATATGCTAGGTATTGAGTAAAGGGAATCCCTAATAGATTACGATGGAAAAATTTAGAATTTAATTACCTAATTTGTTCTCCAGCTTCATGAATCCCTTCGCTAGAAAGAAGCAGACCCACCTCACCGTTCCCTTCGATCGCTCCTGTGAGTTTGCCTCTGCCGAGCTCCATTACTTTGCCCCCTATCCCTTTTACTTGTGCTAACGTAGTGACTTGGCCCTAATTCATCTTTGTTATTATTATTATTATTTTAGTTTAAGTTATGCTAAAAGAACTAATATGCCCTTATATAAACATGGGGTATTACAGATTGTTCACAAATTATTGTTCCAATGACAAAATATTCACAAAACATCAAAGAATCAACGACGGTACAAACACATGCTTTGCAATGCGCAGTTTCATAATCATCTAACCAAACACTGCATTTTTTTATTATGTGATCTCATGCTGAGATTAATTTTTTAATCCTTCCAAAAAAAAAATTGATCCCCTGATGTATAAGGTATTTGGATAATTTACAAGATTAACCTAAAAAAAAGTTCTTTTTTTTTTTTTTACTTTTATAGTACTGGAATAAATTGTCCTTTGAGGTGATCCATATACTTAGGCAAGAAAAGAAAAGGTTTCTACAGAAGTAATTATTTTCAAAAACTTTATAAATTAAAGGTATATTGAAATATATATTCATCAAATGCTTATAAGATATAAATTGTCGTTCTATAAACACTTATTTCTTCTATGAAACATATTTAAAATATGGCTAAAAGCATGTTTTCGTTCTACATACAACTCATACAAATATTTGT